ATATATACACACACACACACACACACACACACACACATTCAATTCAGTTTATTTACATAGCACCAAGTCACATTCACATACATAAAAAAACAAGTTAACATTATTTATCTGAGGAGCAGACTGCTTTGAATTTAACTCCATCACAGAACTTTCATCTTGAACAAGCATGAACGCAACAGTGGAAAGGAAAAACTCCCTCGTGAGAAAGAAACCTTTAGCAGAACCAGACTCAGGACAAATGACCATCTGCTTTGACCGGCTGGGTTCGAGAGGAACAGAAAGTTAGAATAAATACACAATGGCAAGCCGAGAATCACATGTTAAGATAGAAATAGTATCAAATGAAAACTATTCTTTTTTTCCATTTACCCCTTATTTATACAGGTAGTCTCATTGAGTCACGACAACTCATTTTCAAGATAGACCTGTTTTTTGGGGGAGCAAATGGTGAAAAAGGGCCTTGCTCAGGGGCCCAAAATGGGACAAATGAGGGTGGAGGCAGGTGCTGGTGTTTCACCTTTTCCACCCACATTTTGATGTTGACGGTACCGGGAGTTGAAACTGTGACTTTCCGATCACAGGCCCATTTTCTCTAACCTGTGCGCAACCACTCCCGAAATTTAAACAATTTATTTTAGGAAATGACGTGAATTTGTCCTGAAGTAGTCTAAGCTTAAGGCAGCATAGCAAATCAACCCTAACTATAGGATTTATCAAAAAGGAAAGTCTTAATCCCAGTCTTAAAACTAGACAATGTGTCAGCCTCACGGACAGAAACTGGAAGTTGGTTTCAAAAGAGAGGAGCCTGATAAATGAAAGCTCTTCCTCCCATTCTGCTATTAGAAACTCTAGGAACCGCGAGTAAGCCTGCAGTTTGAGAACGAAGTGCTCCGTTAGAAAATATGGAACAATAAGATCTCGAATATATGATTGAGCTAGGTTGTTGAGGGCTTAGTAGGTTAGAAGTCAGATTTTGAAATCAATTCTGGATTTGACAAGGAACCAATGGAGAGAAGCTAAAACTGGAGAGATATTATCTCTCCTATAAACTCTCATTAAAACTTTGGCTGCAGCATTTTGGATCAACTGAAGACGTTTTAAAGAAGTATTTGGACACCCAGATAAACCATTGCAATAGTCCAGTCTAGACATGACAAATGCATGGACCAGTTTTTCTGAATCGTTTTTACATAAGATGTTTTTAATTTTAGAGATATTACGCAGGTGGAAGAAGGCGGTTCTAGTAACGTTTTTAATGTGGGGGACAAAAGACATGTCCTGATCAAAAATAAAACCAAGATTTCTAACATTAGAACTGGAGGACAGATTAATGCTATTTAAGGAGGGCGAAAGACTGAAACATTTATCCCTAAGATTTTCAGGTCCTAAAATTCAAACCTCAGTCTTGTCTGTATTCAAAATCAGAAAATTTAGGGTCATCCAGGTTTTTATATCTTTAAAACATGCTTGTAATCCAAGTATCTGCTTGGATTCATTGGGTATCATGGACAAATGTAATTGTGTATCATCAGCATAACAATGAAAATTTATCCCATGCTGTTTAATAACATTACCTAAAGGAAGCATATACAGTACAAGGTAAAGAGTACTGGTCCAAGCACTTAGCTGTGGAGCTCCATGACTAACTTTGGTGGATGATGAAGATTCATTCTTTACATTTACAAATTAGAATCTATCAGATATGTATGATTTAAACCAATTTAGAGTTGTTTCTGTAATTCCAAAATCATATTCAAGTCCATGTTCCGTGCCTCTATTGTCGAGGTGGCTTACCGGAGCTGCGGCCGCAAGGTTGTCGGTGTCTGTCGCAGCGGCAACCCTCGAACCTGGTGGTGGACACCGGCGGTGAGGGATGCTGTCAGGCTGAAGAAGGAGTCCTATTAGGCCTTTTTGGCCTGTGGGGCCCTGGAAGCAGCTGATGGGTACCGGCAGTCCAAGCGACATGCGGCTCGGGTGGTCGCTGAGGCAAAAACTCAGGCATGGGAGGAGTTCGGAGAGGCCATGGAGAATGACTTCCGCACAGCTTCGAGGCGATTCTGGTTCACCATCCGGAGTCTCAGGGGGGGAAAGCGGTACGCCACCAACACTGTTTATAGTGGGGTGGTGTGCTGCTGACCTCAACTCGGGATGTTGTGGGTCGGTGGGCAGAATACTTTGAAGACATCCTCAATCCCACCGGCACGTCTTCCACTGAGGAAGCGGAGTCTGGGGACTCTGGGTCGGGCCCTACAATCTCTGGTGCTGAGGTCACCGAGGTGGTTAAAAAGCTCCTTGGTGGCAGGGCCCCAGGGGTGGATGAGATTCGCCCAGAGTTCCTTAAGGCTCTGGATGTTGTAGAGTTGTGTTGGCTTACGCGACTCTGCAATATTGCGTGGACATCGGGGGAAGTTCCCCTGGATTGGCAGACCGGGGTGGTGGTCCCCCTATTCAAAAAGGGGAACCGTAGAGTGTGTTCCAACTACAGGGGGATCATGCTCTTAAGCCTCCCTGGTAAGGTCTATTCGGGGGTTCTGGAGAGGAGAGTCCATCAGATAGTCGAACCTCGGATTCAGGAGGAGCAGTGCAGTTTTTGTCCTGGTCGTGAAACACTGGACCAGCTCTACACTCTCAGCAGGGTCCTGGAGGGTGCGTGGGAGTTTTCCCAACCAGTCTACATGTGCTTTGTGGACTTGGAGAAGGCGTTCGACCGCGTCCCTCAGGGAACCCTGTGGGGGGTCCTCTGGGAGTATGGGGTATCGGGCCCTTTGATACGGGCTGTTAGGTCCCTGTATGACCGGTGTCAAAGCCTGGTTCGCATTGCCGGCAGTAAGTCGGGCTTGTTCCCGGTGAGAGTTGGACTCCGCCAAGGCTGCCCTTTGTCACCGATTCTGTTCATAACTTTTATGGACAGAATTTCTAGGTGCAGCCAAGGTGTTGAGGGGATCCATTTTGGTGGCCTTTGGATTGCGTCTCTGCTTTTTGCAGATGATGTGGTCCTATTGGCTTCATCAGATCGTGATCTACAGCTTTCGCTGGAGCGGTTTGCAGATGAGTGGGACGCGGCCAGGATGAAGATCAGTTCCTCCAAATCCGAGGCCATGGTCTTGAGCTGGAAAAGAGTAGAGTGCCCTCTCTGGGTCAGGGAGGAGGTCCTGTCCCAAGTGGAGGAGTTCAAGTATCTTGGGGTCTTGTTCACGAATGAGGGAAAAATGGAGCGTGAGGTCGATAGGCGGATAGGTGCAGAATCTGCAGTGAAGCGGGCGCTGTACAGGTCTGTCGTGGTGAAGAGAGAGCTGAGTCAAAAGGCGAAGCTCTCAATTTACCGATCGATCTACGTTCCCACCCTCATCTATGGTCATGAGCTTTGGGTTGTGACTGAAAGAACGAGATCTCGGATACAAGCGGCCGAAATGAGTTTTCTCCGCAGGGTGTCTGGGCTCTCCCTTAGAGATAGGGTGAGAAGTTCGATCATCCAGGAGGGACTCAGAGTAGAGCCGCTGCTTCTCCACGTCGAGAGGAGCCAGTTGAGGTGGCTCGGGCATATGATTAGGAAGCCTCCTGGATGCCTCCCTGGTGAGGTGTTCCGGACACGTCCCACCGGGAGGAGACCCAGAGGAAGACCCAGGACACGCTGGAGGGACTATGTTTCTCGGCTGGCCTGGGAATGCCTCGGGATCCCCCCGGAGTAGCTGGCCCAAGTGGCTAGGGAGAGGGAAGTCTGGGCCTCCCTACTTAAGCTGATACCCCCGCGACGCGACCCCGGATAAGCGGAAGAAAATGGATGGATGAATATTCAAGTCTCTGTAGTAGAATATTTTGATCAACTGTATCAAATGCAGCACTGAGGTCTAACAGGACCAGTATAGACACATGTCCATTGTCAGAGGCCATGAGAATATCATTAGCAGTGTTTCCCCTAGATCAGTTCCCTTGGCAGGGCACTTGTCGTATTTTATTTTTGTTGATGGGGGTGGGGGGAGGAGGAGGACGGGACGGAGTCACGTCTGTGTAGCCCGCCTGCTAACTTAGCGCTACGTTGCTGCTGTTTTTTTTTGAAGGAGGGGTGGGGGTGGAGCAGAGTGGTATGTCAGTAGCATATTTGCTAGCCTTTTTGTGTATAGTGACAGACATCTTGCATTTTGAAATTGTAACCCCATTTCCAATAGGGATATTTCTTATGCCTAGATGTAGCCACACACCAAGATGGAAGTCGGTACCTCATTTATTTTTCAAGTTGTCATGCACAAAACACTGAAGGAGGGAGGGGTTTTTTCAATTCCCTCTATTTGCTCCATGATGGGGGACAATAAAGTAACTACTGCTTTAGCAAACTTCTGTAGTGCTTTTCTATGACAGAACATCTTACCAAAAAAGTCTGCAAATGGGTCTCTACCACCAAAAAATTCCCGGAAAACATCTTCTGGGTTACGGAATGTGAATGGTTCATGGAAATGCTCTCCATTGGGGAAATGTCCACCTGAAAAGAAACACCAGCAGAAGTTAGCAACATAAAATCAGACAAATGCTGTCATCAGTGAGAGGCTAGTGCACAGCAATTCAGTCCATGAGTTCATTAGTTAGGCCACCTCCACTCCACTCAACCTCAACCACCCACCCACCCAGCCACTCCACCCATCCAACCACACACTCACTCACTCACTCACTCACTCACTCACTCACTCACTCACTCAC